TTAAGCACAGAAAAAAAGTTTCTTATCGCACTTTGTACTGATATTTGCATCACGAATTTGGAGGTTTTAGTCTGTTCAATTTCCATGAAAAATAAAAATGAAACACATTGGCAACTTTAAAATTGAATTAAATAAACAAGTCTATTTCGAAAAATTAAATTTTTTTGAGCCTCTTTTGTTGAATTGGATCTAAATTCAACTTACCAGCACAGGGTACTTCTGCACAAGCCTTTGTGGCTTTGTTTGTAGCAGCAGAGAATTCAAATTCTGGATCAGACTTTGGGTTTTTAAACAACTCAGCACAGACATGCGTCACCTGATGACACAAGAGGGATGTCATATCGATGGACATCTCAACATCATCAAACATCAATGGTGATCCCAGTGTTAATGATGTGCTACCTTGTGCATCGTTGAAGGCCTGTCTCACAAGAGACTGTTTTTTCCCTTTAGCAGCTGCGCTTTTACTTCCAAAAGCATTCAACCGCCAAAGATCCTTCCCAGATATTGCCGTAGTTGTATCGTCATACGTCGCTATTACATCAAACTTAAATTTATTTTGGGTTTGCACCAATCCTTCAATCAACTGTGCATCGGCAGCAACTTGAAGCTTCAGTGATGTTATTACCACCTCTGTAAGAGCCACACACAAGTAGAATTACCCTAAATGAACCATTACTGTATTAACTGTAACCTTAACCTTTTTGCACATCTTTCATATAAAACCCACATTTTTCTAGTATTTTGACCAAGCAAGACCTGTTGCCATTAGGAAACGTTAATTTGGTAAGAATACTTACATGTATAGTATAACTATTATCCCTTCCCAAATACACATGAAATCATCAAAGCCTACTGATTAAATACAACCTATATTTCAACAATTGAAATAGAGCCCATGAAAAACATGTAGTGGCAAAGAAGTGTTGCATATCATTCTTTTCAATCAACAAAATATGCAGCATTAATAATTTAATTTGATTGATATTTTAATATAATATAAATAATATTTGTTCTACAGTATAATTACTAATCTAGGTGGTCAAAATAAATATCTGTGCATACTTTTGTTTAGACATCTCATTCCATTGCCTACATGTTGCCATCCTAACCCATTTTGAACCTGCTATCATTCCATCGCCTACATTTTACCACCCTCACCCATTATCTACCTACCATTCCATTGCATACATGTTACCACCCTAACCATTTTCTACCTGCTACCATTCCATTGCCTACATGTTACCACCCTAACCCATTTTCTACCTGCTACCATTCCATTGCATACATGTTGCCACCCTAACCCATTTTGAACCTGCTACCATTCCATTGCCTACATTTTACCACCCTAACCCATTTTCTGCCTGCTACCAATTTATTTCATATATGTTGCCACCCTAACCCATTTTCTACCTGCTACCATTCCATTGCATACGTGTTGCCACCCTCACCCATTTTCTACCTGCTACCATTCCATTGCATACATGTTGCCACCCTAACCCATTTTTTACCCGCTACCATTCCATTGCCTACATTTTACCACCCTAACCCTTTTTCTACTTGCTACCATTTCATTGCATACATGTTG